TCTGTAGGTTTTTCGGAATTCCTCATTGAAATGAACCAGATCTTCTGGGTTTTGAACATCCCAACTAATCATAATGGCTGTATCCGTCTTCTCATATCTCATATGCATAAAATATTTGGTTTCAATTTGGGATTCTGAGAATCCTTGATTCTTCAGACCCTCAATTGATGTTGAGCGAAGATCCATGAATTGGGAGTAGATTTTCGAGAAGTTGGCTGAAATTTTTTTTTGGCAATTTTCGAATTTTGGCTCACAATCAGATATTTTCTTATATTTTTATTACTTTAATCTTACTTAGCTAGCCTCATTTTGAAGCTCAAGACTAGACAAAGCTAAATATTTGAATAATATACGTTTTCTCACAACTTCAATTGCTGATTTGTACAATACTAGGAAATTGGCTGGGTTAGGTTGCTCATCTTAGCATATCTCGCTTCTGTGTATTTCTACCAAAAAAGTGTCAACTACAAAAATGAAGCTCTATTTTTGTTTAGTATGCTCTCAAAGTTTTAAAAAATCCGAAAAGCATAGGTCTCTTTCGTAGGGTGTGGAAAATGTAAAGTTTAGTGTAAACTTGTGGAATGCCTCACAAATCTTTGAGCTAATTTATCTAGGTTACTGTAGTAGAAATCAAGAATTTGTCAACTAATAAAATGTTTGCCATATTATCAGCTGTATTTTGTTAGTTGACCACTTTTTGATATCTTTCATAGGAACCCAGATAAATTGGATTAAAGTTACCTGTAGCAGGTTCCAAGTTTAAAAAACCTCATCTCGGCTCAAAATTGAGCTACAGATCCCAAAAATAGTGCGGAAATGTGAAGAATTTTAATTCAACAATTTCTAGGAACGCCTCGATTTCTCCTGCGCTCTATTTGCTCCCGATGGAGGTCTTATCGCCAACGCCCCACACATCCCGGTCCATCTCGGCGGAATGCAATACACTGTCAAATTCCAAATGATCATCGTGGAATTGAGAATATTAAAGAAGGAGATGTCTATCTAGCCAACCATCCCCTCGCCGGAGGTTGCCACTTGCCAGATTTCACAGTAATCACCCCTGTATTCTTCAAGAGCATTCAGAAGACCCCTGTGTTCTTTGTAGCCAATAGGGGACATCATGCAGACATCGGAGGACTGGTACCAGGAAGTATGCCCCCGAATGCACATCATATCGATCAGGAGGGAGCCTCTTTTATCTCTTTTAAACTTGTGGATGAGGGAAAGTTTCAAGAGGAAGCGCTGATTGAGGCATTAAAGGCGCCTGGAAAGGTCCCAGGATGCTCTGGAGCCAGAAATATCAATGACAATATTGCGGACCTTAATGCTCAAATCGCAGCTAACCGGAAGGGAATCCAGCTAGTGACTAGTTTGATAGAAGAGTACTCGCTAGACGTCGTCCACGCCTACATGCAACATATTCAGAATACCGCAGAGTTATGTGTCAGGGAGATGTTGAAGAGAGTGGGAAGGAATGTTCTGGAAGCTACTGGGAAGAGTCAATTGACTGGAGAAGACTATATGGATGATGGAACTAGGATCCAGCTAACTGTCAACATCAATCTGGACGATGGCTCAGCAACATTTGATTTCACAGGAACCGGACCCGAATCTTATAGCTCTTGTAATGCTCCACGAGCTGTTACCATGTCGGCAATCACTTATTGTTTGAGATGTCTCGTTGAGAAGGATGTCCCATTGAATAATGGATGTTTGGCGCCCATTAAAATTATAATTCCAGATGGAACTATTCTAAGTCCATCTGAAACTGCTCCTGTTGTCGCTGGAAACGTTCTGACTAGTCAGCGACTTTGTGACGTCATCTTTAGAACCTTCGACGTCGTGGCTGCTAGCCAAGGATGTATGAATAATTTGGTATTTGGAGATGAGAAATGTGGGTACTATGAGACCATAGCAGGAGGAGCTGGCGCTGGAAATGGGTTTGATGGGCGGAGTGGAGTGCACACGCACATGACGAATACACGAATTACGGATCCTGAGATTCTGGAGAATCGATTTCCAGTAGTCCTGAGAGAGTGGAAGCTGCGAGAAGGATCTGGTGGGAATGGGAAGTGGAAGGGAGGAGATGGCGTTGTCAGGCAGTTGGAATTCACTAGGACGCTCACGATGAGCTTGTTGACGGAGAGACGGTAAGTGTAACTACCGTAAAATCTGTAATAGAAGTGCCTCCTAACTTTTAAGCCCATATACCGTAAAACCTCTAATAGAACGACACCCGGATCGTCCACTTTGAGCCTATATATCTCACTTCTTTTGAAAGATATCAAAAAGCGGTTAGCTAGTAAAATGTTTATCAGGATATCAGCAACATTTTACTAGTTAGCCAC